AAAGTTTTACTCATGGTATGAGCTTTTGTGCGCATGGACACCTTTAATTTTTATTTATTTATTGGATTTATATCCCACCCTCCCCCTTATGGGCTCAGGGAGGGTTCCAACAGTAAAAATAACAATACAATTAAAACCATTTTAAAACAGAATACGAAATAACATAATTCATATGTGCCATACAACTCTAGTAAAAGCCAGATACCTCAGTGGTTGATGGTGTTAAAATTAAGTTTTTAAAGATCCTTAAGATTTAAGGTCTTAGGGACCCAGGCTACAGATGGAGGGGACCCAAAGGGGGGGACGGACGATGCCTGCTTCCTCAACCAAAAGCCGAGCGGAAGAGCTCCATCTTGCAGGCCCTGCAGAATTGTAATAAATCCCGCAGGGCCCTGATCTCACACGGGAGCTCATCCCACCAGGCAGGGGCCAGGGCTGAAAAACTTGGTCTTAAAGGTGCCTGACTGGACTCTAAATTTGTTCTGCCGCTTCAGACCAACATGGCTGGCCACCTGGATCTACTCTAACCGTGACACTTTGACTCTTCTGAAGCACCTGAAGGAGTTTTAAAGAACCCTTCTCCAGGCACTTTTGGAAAGCCCAAGATTCTCCCAGTAGACGGGCAATTGGACTCAAGTCAGAGTTAGGCTTGCCAAGTCCCCCTGTACAGAGATACACAACAATACCAAGGTCTTGATTGCTTGCCCTTTCCTCAGTTTAGGCAAAATGCAGGCTCTCCTGCTTCGATCCGGGGAGCCCAAGGTCTTGCAAAGCATATTATGCTTAGTCTAGTCCTCAACGTGTACAAAGGAAACAGTGATATAGAAGTGATATGTGTGGATAATTGGCTGGCTCTCCCGAGCTTCAAGGAGGCCAGATTGGTGGTAACCAGGGCCAGGGCTTTTTTGGTGGCGGCTCCACTCTGGTGGAATGAGCTCCCAGAAGAGATCAGGGCCCTGTGGGACCTTTCACAGTTCTGCAGGGCCTGTAAGACGGAGCTCTTCCACCAGGCCTTTGGAGCTGCCACCTATGCTCCCTCTAAGCTGTGGAATCTTGTGAGCAAAAATTCTACTTTGTGAGCTCCTGGCATTAAAGTTTTGAGCGAGCGATTTGACTGCTGCATAAATTAGTTTGCTCCGGAGGCTAAAAAACGGTGAGCTAACTCACACTAACTCAGCTTAGAGGGAACACTGGCCGCCACTACTAACACCACTAACACATCTACCGCCAACAATTGATATCTATGTTGGCGGAACCCTGACCTGCTGGTCCCCTAAATACTGCCCAAGCCAATCACCCTAGCCAGTTGAGGAAGACCAAAGAGCTGACCATTAAATGAGGAATGTCACTAGCACTTTATTATGTCCGAGTTTTAATACTGTATTTATTGATTTATGTGATTTTATGTGATTGTATTGTTGGAATTTTACTCTGTAAGCCGCCCTGAGCCGGCCCAGGCCGGGAGGGCGGGATAGAAATCTAATAAATAAATACAAATTAATAAAATAATGTTCACAAAACTTCAGGGAAGAAATGTTACACTTTCTGACAGAAGCCAATTGCAAGGTGGTACCACAAGACCCACACACTTGGATTGTCCCCCAGAGTGTTTGGGACTGTGCTACTGAGTCCGGTCAAAACAGCTCAGCAGAGGGAACACGGAAATGGGCACCTGGCTGCTAACGTATTTCTGGTGTTCTTCCTCGCAGAAGTTTCTGCTCCATCGGCTGTTCTTTGTCGCAATGTTGCCGGAAAACACAGAGAGCGGAGAAGTCATAGGTATGGTAGCCGGTCTCACCTTGACTTAGGGGCATGGAGATGTTTCTGGGCTCTGTAATGACGGCCTCTGCTTTCTGGAGCTCCAGAGAGGCAGAATAAAGGCCACGAAACTTTCAGAGCAGGTTCCAGTTCCTGGAAGCAATATGTGTTTTCTCTAAGGGAACGAAAGGGTTGTTAGATCTTGCAGTAGCCCCCTGACAGACGTATAGGATGTCAGACACAAGCTCCGGGGGGACTTTGCTTTTTGTAGCTTCTCTAAATCCCCGTTATGTAGATTGCTAATCTGTTTTCCTCTCTTCATAAGCTTTCCACGAACAGCTTTTTCAGAGGATTGCAAAGTTTCACCTGGGGGAACCGGTCTCTGGGGTTCTCCTCATCTATCCCAGCTGTGTTCTTCATATTCTTGAGGTAAGCTGGGGGGGGACTCACTAACTCATCAAGGAAAACTGAAGGACTCTTGTAGATCGTGCAGAATTATAATAGATTCCAATGCAAGCTACTTACTTATGTCATTTTTTTGGTCCCTACAAAATGATTGTTTCCCAGTCAGTCTTCTTAACGTAGAATTCAGAACTGTATATTTTTAAGGGGGGGGGACTTCAAAACCAGATTTTAAAAATAGCAAACATTTCATAATTTTCCTGTTCTGCTCTTGTCTTAAACCCTTCCTACGTGTCAGAAGTTTTCAGGTAAGCAGCAGCAGTTTTCAGAGCAGTGAAGTCGCTAAATTTGCAGATTACATGAAGTTGTTCAGGGTGGTGAGAACCAGGGAGGATTGTGAGGACGAGCGAGTGGGTGTCAACGTGGCAAATGGGGTTCAATGTGGCCAAGTGCAAAGTGATGCACATTGGAGCCAGAAATCCTAACTATAAATACACGTTGATGGGGTCCGAACTGGCAGAGACTGACCAAGAGAGAGATCTTGGAGTCATAGTAGATAACTCAATGAAAATCTCTAGACAGTGTGCAATAAACTGCAATAAAAAAGGCCAATGCTATGCTGGGGATTATTAGGAAGGGAATTGCAAACAAATCAGACAGTATCATAATGCCCCTGTATCAATCAATGGTGCGACCTCATGGAGTACTGTGTACAGTTCTGGTCACCCCTATGAAGAAAGGTTAAAGCGCTTGGGGCTCTTTAGCTCGGAGAAACAACGGCTGAGTGGGTAACATGATCAAGGTTTATAAGATTATGCATGGGATAGAAGAGATCAAGAAAGAAGTCCTTTCCTCCCTTTCTCACAATTCAAGGATTCGTGGGCACTCACTGAAATTGCTGAGCAGTAGGGTTAGAACAGATAAAAGGAAGTCCTTGTTCACCGAAAGAGTGATTAGCACATGGAATTCACTACCACAGGAGGTGGCGGTGGCTACAAGCATGGACAGCTTCAAGAGGGAATTAGATAAGCATATGGAGCAGAGATCCATCAGTGGCTATTAGCCACAAGGTATAGATAGGGACTCTCAGTCTGGGGCAAGTGATGCTCCGTCTTCTTGGTGCTTGGGGGGGGGCAAACAGTGGGAGGCCTTCTGGTGTCCTGGCCCCACTGCTGGACCTCCTGGTGGCACCTGGTATTCTTGGCCACTGTGTGACACAGAGTGTTGGACTGGATGGGCCATTGGCCTGTTTCAGCATTGGCTTCTCTTCTGTTCTTATGTTCAGGTACCCAGAGGGACTGCAAATACCTTCCAATAATGTATGCATTTCTTACCTTCTTACAGTCATCCAGTGGCACACTCTACCACATCCTTAAGGAGCTAGCAGCTGCGGAAAACGAAGAGCCAGAGTAAGTGATACAAAGCTTGCAGTATTTCTCGCATGTGTGTGTGCTGGGGGGTGTCGCCGTCATTCACTGTATGGATCACAATGCAATTCCCAGAGAGGTAGCTGCGTTAGTCAAACTGCAGCCAACACAACAGAATCTCATGGGCATTTCAAAGACTCAGAAACACGTCTCGTGGTGTATGTTTTTTTGTGAGCAGGAAGCTAGTTTGTCAAATGCTATCAATTAGAAGAAGAGATTGGATTTATACCCGGCCCTTCAGTACCCAACCGAGTCTCAGAGCGGCCTACAAACTCCTTTCCCTTCCCCTCCCCACAACAGACACCCTGTGAGGTAGGTGGGGCTGAGAGAGCTCTGACAGAAACTGCTCTTTTTCAAGAACAGCTGTGCCAGAACTATGGCTTGCCCAAGGTCATCCAGCCAGGTGCAAGTGGAGGAGTGGGGAATCAAACCCGGTTCTCCCGGATTAGAGTCTGTGCACTTAACCATGACACTAAACTGGTTCAAATTAGAATTACTGACAAATTCTGACAACAAACGTTAACATGGTCTCATTACTTGGGCAGATATGGGCATGTGTTTGTGTGAGACAGAGAGCTCTGTTGGTGGGTAATCCAGAAAAACCTTTGGGAATAGAAAAGGTCCAGAAGACCTTTGGGAATAGAAAAAGGTGGGTAGCTGCGTTGGCCTGAAGCAAGAGAAAAAAGTTTGAGTCCAGTGAAGAAGTCTGCATGCACACGAACGCTTACACCCAGAATTAAACTTGTTGGTTTTAAAGGTGCCATTGGACTCAAGCCTTTTGGGGGGAATATAAAGGTTTTCCCACCTCTTCTGGATGTCACGCAGGATCAGACTATAGCAGTTCTCCAAGAGGATTCCAGTGCTGGGGGGGACAGCCTGACACAGCTACTACACTTGATAAAGTCTCCCCAGTTCCATAAGGGTAGAGAGAGCCTCTTGGGACTGCACACAACAGGGTCGCCCTCTTGAGACGGTTTGAGACTCTTTTCCACTTCAGGCCTTTCCTGCGTGACATTAAGATACTGGTGGTGTCTCACAACATCCCGACCAAGCTCTTCACACAGTGGTACGCGACAGCGCTGGACGTGCCCGAAACCCTCGAAGACGTCACGCAGACCCAGACGACGGAGGAAGTGATAACGGAGTGCCTGACCCTCATCCTCAAACTGGGAGTTTATCTCGCCACGCTTAAGGTGAGCGGGTTGCAAGGAGCAGGCCCAATTGCGAACCTGAGTTCCCCAAAAATGAGTATAGTAAGTATGCTATATACGAAGCTTGGGGAAATGAAAAGATCAGTTCCAAAAGTGAACCCCCCCCCCCAAGTTTTTGGAACTCTGTCAGTTGCTCCTTGCACTAATCCAGGTATGACTGGTCTCGGCAACTCTAAGGAGAAGCTCTTTGTATGTCAAAAAGTATTTTCTGTTGGAAGTATTGCAGCACGTGCAAAGGAAATTGGCTGGAAAGGCCCAGTTCAGAGAGAGGTGGATGTGGGCTAGGTAATCCAAGATTGTTGCTTTAAATGGATTAATTTTGCTAGGTGGGAAAAAAGGAAAATTAGATGTATTGATTGGATGGGCATCTGTAAGGGAAGAATTAATACACTGAGTTGTGTGCGAGTCGCTACTGTCAAAATGCCGAACTCTAAGCCAGGGGTATCCAGAGAAACAGTACGTTCAGCATTGGAGTATTTTGGAGAGTTTGGATTAGGGATGTGCATTCAGCCAATCACTGCCATGCATTTGCAAATGCATTGCAGTTTGCAATTTTGGATTAGGGGTTTGCAATCAGCCAATCACTGCAATGCATTTGCAAATGCATTGCAGTTTGCAATTTTGGATTAGGGGTGTGCTTTGCAGTTTGCAACTTTTTGCAAGGCTGTTGCTTCGAGTCCAACCACTAGCTTGCTTCTTTCCCTGGGAAAAAGCACTGGTAGCCAATAGGGCTTTGGCATCTGCTCTCTGGCCAATCACAGAAGGTGTTTCTTTATGAAACCCTTCTGTGTATGCCCAGAGAGCATAAAA